ATATCTTCTATGCAAGTTATGCTTTATGCAGTAAAAATCTGTTCCTGTTTAAAAACTTTTCTACAAACATCATTTTAAGAGTTTCAGATGAAAACTGCTAGAGAATTTTTATGTATATTTATGCTGGATTCTGCATTATAGCTTTCTTTTATTGGTGTTCATTTAAGTTGCAGTGTTATGAGGAGGAAATTAATATAGGTATACAAAACCACATGTCAGTTATAGACTGGCTTAAAACAGCTTTCCATATCCTTTTACTAATTAGAAACTTTCCAGATCCTTTTACTAACTAGAAAAACTCTGCCAGGTGGTACATGTGGGTGTATGGGCAGCAGGTCAAAATGATTATTTGCTGCCACTGAATTTTCAAAATACAATCTTCGCTCTGTTTAAACTTGGGAATTAATTATGAGTCTGTTTCTAGTATTGTGAAAAATATTGCTCTCCTCTCCCTTTTAGAAAGTTTTGCCACTAAAGTTTATCAGAGCTTCACTAATTTCTTTTTTTGAGTGGGGCATGACATTCCTCTGTTATCTGAATAGTCGAAACATCACTGTGAAGAGTAGAGCCAAACTTAATGTTATTTATATAGGGAAAGGCTTGCCCAAATCAGTATACGATGTTGAGTACTCACACAAGTCACTCTACTTATTCCTTTAACTGAATGATTGAACTAAGGGATGTTCTTGGTGGATGACTTTGTTAATAATATAAATTCAACAAAGCATCAAACTTCTGTCTTCTTTGTTTTCTCAGACTCCCTTTATATATCATTAGGACCTACATTAATCTCTGATAACATTCAGTGGCAAAGATACATCAAAATCAGAAAGGTTGTAAATAGATTTTCACAGAACTCTACAGCTCCTCCTCTGAAATTACTTCCATGAGGTTGCAGAAGTAAGCCACTCTAAAGTTATTCCAGTTGCAAAATAGAGGTGGCCTTTGTGGGTATTTGGAGATTGACTATCAGTCTGTGGTATGAAAAGTCTCTGAAAGACTGGTGAATTTTTTCTTCAATAGATCTGGAATCCTTGAGCCTTGAGAACAAAGCTTTGGCATTAATGCACATTTTTATCTTATACAAATACTTTAAGAAAAGGGATTTAGCATGAGATGAAAGTTTTTCTTCATATCTGTTGTGGTCCTCCTACTTGTTAGTCCCCACAGCATGATGTTTGCTTTTGATAAATGCCAAGAAATATTTAGCATAAGTCCAGTTTGGTCGTTAGTCTGTGAAGCTAAAGCAAACTAATAAGTGCGTACAAATATTCCTGTTTACAAAATTTAAAGGGATAAGGATATGTGCCTTCAGAATCTTGACCATTAAATTTCAACAACAGTAGTGTATATGTGTCTGCTTATCAAAGTAGCCTTTTATCAGGAGTGCCAGTCTGTATTCTACACTATGGAATGGAAGGACTTTAAAACAAAAAAGAGGGACATGGAGGAAAAATGACCCAGGTGGCCTTTGAAGATACAAGCCTTAACATATATGAATTGTAGAACTGAGTTAACATTTCTCATTTTAATTTATCTAGCATTTTGTTTGAAGTTGTAATTTTAATTAAAAAATTACTAGCAGAGGTTAAATGTAGAAGATGAGTATGCAGCTTTTTCCTCTGCTTAGAATCAATATTGCCATTCAGGTAACCCACTTTAAATG